TAAAGTTCTGCTTAAGGTAATGCTGGCTCAAACACTGGCACACTGTCCAATCATGCAAATAAAATTTCAAATATGTATAGATGTCTACTGTAAATTGAATAGTTAATTGATAACTAAGTGTGTGTGGATGTGTGTGTGTGTGTGAGAGAGAGAGAGAGAGTGTGTGTGTTTGTGTGTCTGTGTGTCTGTGTGTGTGCACTTAAAATCCAGTGTGCTCTAATGAGAGACAAAGTACAGACAGCAGGTTGAGCGTGGGCAAGAAACTATGGCAACGGCCTTGGGATTCTAGACATGTAGAGAGAAAAAGAGAGAGAGAGGTAACCAGGATGTCATTAACAATAGTTCCATATAACCAATAATAGAGGGATTGATAGATCAGCGGGATCTATGATGAGACACGTCCATCCCCCCCTTAAATACAAACACTGACGCACACAAACCGATGCTTTGCATTCTCATAAATCAAGATTTCTTCTGAAGACCTCTTATTGTAAAAGCAATACTAGCACAGTTACATATTGTAAATGTTAATCTATAGACATGCATATTTTTGTGTATGTATGTGGTGTTCAGAAAAAAATTCATACAGCACACAAGACACTATAGGCTGCAGTCTTTTGAATTGAAGGCAGAAAGGGAAAATCCGCCTCAAAAAGCACAGTTTGAAGACAATAATAATAATAATGGGATGGTAATATGACTACACGTCATCAGTTACCATACATTATCAGTGTGTAGGTCAATCACATTAGCTCCTCTCATCTCTTTTAAAGCAGTGTCATCCCATTGTTCATGTACTGGATGATAAATGCTTTTGTCCTTGAGGTGCAGAGTTGCAGATCTCCCCAACTCACTAGCACACATTTCAGATGAGCAGGTGCTATATCTTAAAGCCAAATGTATGTTTTTTGGAGATACTAAAATACTGCTTCTTACTTTTGGCAGCCTTTGTAAGTGGTTGTATTTTTGAAATTATTATTATTATTATTTTATTAACTGCAAGTGCTTTTGTTATTTCTGGGCTACAATTATCAGAAAAGTCCATTTTCAAGCTCTGTGTTAAGCTTTGACACCCAAATTGTAGTTTTCGGTCTGAAAGACACAAACATTCAACTCCTACTGTTCCTCTCTGCCTACTGTGATGCGAGTCACCAAGATACATCTGAAACAGACACAGGTGGATACTGACCTAATTGTGAGTTAGGAAAAAAGCCCTGTTGTCTACCATGCTGGGTGAAGTGGGCAAACTACCACTTCATGTAGTTAGGACACAATTGAGAACTTCCACAGAAAGCCAAAATGAATTATAGATAAAGAAACAAAAATAAACACTTAATCATGACATAAATATGTGTTTTGAAGGAGGTTGCATTGTTGTTGCACTGTTCCAGTATGTGTGGGAGTCATTGTGATAACTGGTAAATGTATCATGTCTCAATGTATTGTAAGATAGAGAACAGAAACAACGTGATTTTCTAGTTTAAATATTTTTTATTGAGTTAGCAATAATAAAACATTCAATATTACAGATGTTTTCCTCCTTTTAAATTAAATTAAGAAAAACGAAGATAACAGGCAAACATACAAGTCAACAGGTGTAGTGAGTAACACTAAATGAACAACAACAACAACGGCAACAACATAAAATAAATAAATAAATAAAAGATAAAACAATTCACACATACCACATACGCTTTTATACCCTGTGTAGAGGCTGATGTTCTGAATAACAGCGAGTTATACAGTAGGGATAAGAAATGTCTGTCCCTGCCCCTCATCTGAAAAAAAACTATCAAACTTTGCTGATTCAGTTTTCTCCAATGTCGGTATATATTTTTTTAACATAGTTCCTGACATGCAAGTATCCAACATGATTTTCTGTCAGAGATCTCATCAAACATTTCTTCCTTTTGGGGATATTAGAAAATTGTTGATTAAACATTGTATATTAGTTAATCAGTGATGCGTGCCTCCACTTGTTTGTTCTGATTTTCATTAGATGAGAATATGAAAAAAGAGGAATATGTTGTCGATTGGATTTAAAACCTTTGCAGCAAAAGAAGAGTTGGAACTATCATTCTAGAGTTTTTGTGACACTTTGTCGATGACAAATGGATATGTGGTCGTGAGTATGTTTGTGTCTATGTTGCAAGTGTTGCTTGTCAATCTTGGCCTCTGAGGAGCTGCAGGTGTGACCCTTTGGGAAACTCACCAAACATGTGATGAGTTCAAGAAAGAAAGAGAGGAATGAGTTATAAACAACGAGCAAAAAATAACTCTGCATTTGTATGCGACAGACATATCAACGGTTAGAAAATGTGTGTTGTTTGCTTGTAAAAGAAGATACGAAAAAAACTGTTCAAAATGAGAAACATGTATTGACAGATGGAGTGCATTGGAATGTGACAGAGCTGGAGCAATGGGAAAAGAGGGACGATGGAAAAACAAAGTGAAAGGGGCTCAAGGGAAAGCTGGAGGTGTTAATGAGAGAGGGTGAAAGAGACAGATGGAGAGAAAACTGTGAGAGGAAAAAAAAGAAGAAATCTATTGGCAGGAAGAGGTGCTGATTAATGGTCATTGATTGTTTACCTCTGGATGAGTTTCCAGCCCCATCGCCTGTCAATCTCTTTGATTTCCTCTTGACTTTTTCTCTTTTCTCCTTCTTCTTACTTTCTTTCTTTCTTTCTTTCTCATACTGTCAATAACAACACTTCGATAATGACAGAGCATTGTGACACTGGAGACTCAAATGGTCAATGGATTGAGCAGCAGTGTGAATGTCTAAAAGTTACAGCAGTCAATAGTCCTACTTGAAACTATTTCAAGCCCCATTGATTTACCTTTTATCCACATGACTCATTTTACAGAGAGGTGGCTTTAAGTCGAGAACGTGATGCAGCACACTAAAGCAGAAAATGAATGTACCAAAGTCAACATTGTTATTAAAATGGTTACGAAAGCGTCTACAGCTTCTTTGAAATAACAGAAAGGCCCTGCACCATTTTGATTCTGACCAACTCTGAAGACTTGCACTTGAAGTGATGTAACTTGAAATAAACAAAGATATACATGTGATTTGTCTCTTGTTTTGACAACAACCCCACCAACTGCCTTAGAAAATATGAAACTATATACACACACACATCACATGCTAACAGACATTTTATTTGGACTGTTAAAACTGCAGCCTGCCATGTACAGGTAAACCATGTAGGAGCTTCCACCCTGATTTATGACTCAGCTTGGAGGAAGAGGGGGACAAAAAAGAAAGAGGGACAGTTAGAAGGCACAAATAGCGATAGACAGAAAAGGCAGTTTACACACAAACACACACACACACACACACACACACACACACATTTTGGGTCTCCAATCAGACTGGAGCGGGTTGCACTGCTGTAAGAGAAAATTAGTTTTGTTCTCTGGAGGCTCATAGAGAGAGAGAAAGAGAGCGAGAGAAGAGAAGAGAAGAGAAAGATAGAAAGAAACAAGAGTTTCCATTGGAAGAGTTGAGGATCATTGTCTTGCTGGAGGCCATGTTGGCAGTTGTCATGAAAGGGGGAGAAAAGATTTGTCATTCACATCCACTTTCCTCTCCTTTCCTTCCCTTCCTCTCTTTATCTCCCCCTGCCTCTCTCTCTCCCACACACACACACACACACACACACACACACACACACACACACACACACACACACTGTGCCATCTGTGCCTCCTAGAGGAGAAGAAAACCCAAATTTTCCTCCCAAAAATGCAAACTGCAGGGATATGTTTCCACAGTTAGTGTGTGTGTATTCATTGTGAGGTTGGTTATATTCATCTCGCTGGTGTCTGACAGGGTATGGCTGCTGAGCTGCAGCCAAAACCCTCCATTTGACCTAGATCATCGCAGCACCCGGCTAGTGTGTGTGTGTGTGTGTGTCTCTGTGTGTAATGTAGATACTTTTTTTGTCAGCGATAGGAAAACACTGCTAATCGTTCTGCGTGCCTCCTTCCAAATTTTGGTATCCACTATTTGCTATCACTGATGTCTCTCGCTAGATTTCCCTCTCTTTCTGTTCTGTTGTTGTTGGCGTTGACTTGAATGATCTTGGCCATCTTTTTAAAAAAGACAGCCAATCAGAAGGCAAAGGCCATCCTGGAAGACCCTCAGCACTCTCTGCATGCAGAGTTTAGACTTCTGCCGAAAGGGAGGAGGTTCACTTATGTTAGGAGAGCCAAATCAAACAGATATCTGAGGCCCTTTGTCCCATCAGCAGTTGGGTTTCTAAATAAGCTGCAGGCATTGTTACCAGTACACTTCTACTATGGACTGGTGGTCTTTGTGTCTCTTATCCCACTCATGCCCATCATGATGATATCCATGGGACCTATGTAATATACTTATGTATTTATGTCTTTCTGATGTTTTTATGATGTGTATTGCCTGTATGGAACTCTGCTGCAAACCAAATTGCCCCTCTGGGACAATAAAACCATTTTCCAATACAATCCAATCATTTTTCCTCCTTCTGGACTGTTCTATATATCTGAATAGAAGTGGGAGAATTGCAGGTTAACTCATGATATGATACAATATGCCATACATGGCCCATGATACAGATAACATCTTAATACCACTTCTCTGTGATTATTGATATGTTGAAGACAATAATGATACATCACAATATCCAATGAACTGAAGAATACAAAATGCCCCTACAATGGTATAGTGCAGGATTTGTTTTCCCCACTAAAATGTCAATATTTAGCACCTGCGATTCCATAATTGTATCATAAGAGTCAGGAGACAACATGATTCCATATTAATATTTTGTCTCTAACCTTAGATCTAGTTAAGCTCCCAAAAGAGCCTGTTCTCAAAAATGTATGATCAATGATTTGGCACTGTTTCCCCTAGACAATGCAGATTTTGTTTTAAATATGAAAATGTCATCCTCACAGACAATGCAGTCTTTGAGTATGCCTAACCCTTTTCCTTTTCTTGTGTTTCTTTGCAGTGATGGATGGGCGGATCGGTATGATGTAACAGACGGCTATGTTAGGGAAGCGGCTGGTGGTATCACCATCAAGCTCCAGTCAGCCGATGTGAAGTGGTTTGATGACTACTACTTAAACTCCGACCTGAAAACAACCACAGGAACCCCTGGTTTCCAGAGTTCTGGCAGCATCGTTTCCACTGTAAACTCAAGGGCCACCCACAGGAGAGCACCAAATACAACCACTCCTGTGGCAGTGAGTTAAACATACAATATTCTTTGATGGCAGGTTTTTCAAGTCCTCACAGACATACTGGGATCATATGTGACACTTTGAACACCTGTAGCAGTGTGTGGACATTGACATCACATGGTTACAGTTATTAAGTGCTTCTTATTTGACAATGACCATCTGTTGTACACAGAGAAAGATGCTGCAATGTTTAAAAACAATACTAATCTGCAGTTTTATTGACAAGCTAGTACTAATATAAATAACATACACTCACAAGCGTACAACCTGACTGGCTTACAACACATACACCTACACAAACAACATATGGATGCACTCTGCTTTCTGGTTCATCTGGAGATATCCCTTGTGGCTGTGAGTGAAACCTCCCTTTATTTCTTTGTATTCATCTCCCCCCATCTCTCTCTCTTCCTCTTTCATTCTCTCCATTCATACTCAAAGCATTGTGTGAGAGCAGCATCAAAGGGAGTCATGTCTCATGTATTCTAATGAAATGGGACATGAAATACTAATGAACAGGACACAAAAGAGGCAGAAAGAAATGCAATGCGGAGGTGGGAAGTGGCTGATGAGAAGAAATGAGAGAAGAGAGAGGGGTCTTTGATGTCAGGGGGGAAAAAAAGCACTCTGCGTGTCATAAAACTCAAAGAGAAATTAAGAGTTTCTCCGATATACCTGCCTTTCTCTTTTCAACCCTCCTCACCAACCCAATATATTTCCCTCCCCTTTTCTCTACCCACCCACCTCTATGCAGAGAGGGAGTCGCTTCGGCAGCAATATGCTCAGGACACCAAGATGGGATTTGTCATCAATGCCATCTACTCCATGGCATATGGCCTCCATAACATGCAACGGGCACTCTGCCCAGGCTATCAGGTAGGTGCTACACTGATGGATGAATGGAGGGATATGCTAGAACGGAGATAAAGGGATATCATGTACAAATGGTGGAACCAAAGGGAAGTCCAAGATATTTATCATTGAATTAATCCATAGTTGTTATATCTGAATTATTATCACACTACATAAAAATTTAAGACCAAAATGGGAACCTGGATAAACACATACACTATTTAAACATCTTCTCTTCTTTATGAACCAGTTAAGAAATTAAGACAGAAATATACAAAACCGAAATATGTTAGACAGAAAATACAGAAGATAATACATCAGCCTGTATCAGTTTCTGCTTGCTGGTTTACTTTAGCATTAATTGTAAACAATGTAAACTGGTACATAAAATTAGCAGGCACAAGGATTCTACTGAACATAATTTCCAACTTGGCGTATGCCCTCACAAACCTCCTTAAATGAAACGATGATTTCAGAGATGTGGGTCACCAGGTTTCTGACTGTTAATATCTTTTAGGGCCTATGTGATGCCATGCGGCCTATAGATGGTTCTACACTGCTGGACTTCCTGATGAAAACCAACTTCACAGGCGTGTCAGGAGAGGGTATCTTATTTGATGAGAATGGAGACTCACCTGGCAGGTACGTACTGTAACTGAACAAAAGATGCCATTGATTTTTATTTTTTTGGTTTTATTAGGTTTCAGGTTCATATGACAAGACTTTGTGTGTTAGCGTGTCTTTTTCTAAATTTGCACGCGTCCTTTTAATCAACAGGTATGAGATCATGAACTTCAAAAAGATGGGGAAGGACTACTATGACTACATTAATGTTGGCAGTTGGGACAACAGAGGCTTGAAGATAGATGATGATGAAATCTGGCCGAACAAAGATTCAATTATTAAGTCAGTCTGCAGTGAACCTTGTGACAAGGGACAGATTAAGGTAAGATGACAAGTATTTTATATGTTCACTTTGCTTGACTTAGTAACAGACCCCCCCAAGTCCATAAGGTCTTATAGGTTTATTGAATTCTGATTAAGACTGGATGGATGTATGAGATATCATTTTTAATAATTAGTGAAAAAGGGCACAGGTATTACATCACTTTAGGAATGTAATGAGCAAACATACAGCTACGATCAGACATTCATGTTCATGTCACCTCTTCCAGGTGATCCGTAAAGGAGAAGTAAGCTGCTGCTGGACGTGCACTCCCTGTAAAGAAAATGAGTACGTGTTTGACGAGTACACATGCAGAGCCTGTGAACTCGGCTCCTGGCCAACTTTTGACCTCACAGGTGAGTCGCTGATTCATTCCCCCCCACACACACACACACACTCCCACCTTTATTTTTTTATTTGGTATGGGCCACCAGGGCCGAGTGGAGCCTGCGACCAGTGCAACAAGGACTGTAGCCTCTTAACATGGGGCAATATTTTCACTCAAGAAACTTGAATAGAAATCTCATAGGAACAACAAAAGTGATGCAAGTGAAAGAAAACTGTACCATGATCATTAATATGTGTGTGCCTTGAATGTTTGTGGGGTCAAAGGACAACTAATGGTTTGTAGAATAAAAGAAGCTGTGTTTTACCGGATACAGTGTTCGATAACACTCTTATTTACATACAGTTTGTTCTACCATCATTAGGGGAAGGAAACTAAGTGAGGAGCCGTCTGTTTCATCCTCCCCTCCTCTTTCCCCTCTCCTCCTCCTCCCCCTCGACTCTCTCTCTCTCATCACTCGAATTTGCTACCAACATGGTCACCAGTGTTTTAATTATTCTGCATCAAGAGCAGCTTTCAATGCAAATACGCTTTCTGTTGCAATGAAAATGTATTTCCCCTCCATTGCGTTGGAAGCGGTTGGATATTGCCTTGTTATGCTCTCAGCTGCTCATTATACTGCTTGCTAGCTCCTCAACATGCTCAATGATTAAAACATGAATCGAGCCTTGCTGGAAATTCAGATTGGGCTCCACAGCCAGGAACAGACGCATCCTTAAAGTGAGCCAGTGAGAGAAGGACAAAGGGAAAGTTGAGAGTAAAAGCGTGATCGGGTTTAACCATGTGATACTTTTGTGTCCCTCTGTGCATGTTCATGTGTGTGGCCACGTTAAGTTACTTGTATGTCTCCTTGCGAGGCTATATGGAACAGTAATAATGAGGTGTAAACAAGCTGGTTGCACAAGCTGGGAAAGAGGAAGAGAGAACAGAGGAGACAGAGAAAGGTCTCAGCTGGTAGGGACAGAGGTACAGTGTGTTTGAAAATAATAAGCAATAGGAGAGGTTTAGAGACAGCAATAGCTCGAAAATAAGGAGAAAAGAAAAGTTAACCAATAGTGGCTTAGAGGGAGAGGGAAGAAGTGGCTCAGAAAGATAGAAAGATGGAGATGAAAAGAGGCTCTGACAGAAGCAGCAGCCAGGGAGAGTGAAAGCAGCAGGAGAAAGGGAGGATTAGCTTTGAGATTTGAGCCTCTTCACTGATTGGTAGAGTTCCAGTCCAAGTGTTAGAGTTTGAAGAAGTTTGTCTCTAAACTTTTTATTGACTGAACCCCACCAAATGGTCCCCCTCCCTTACGTAAATGCAGCAGTTTAGCTTAGGGTCAAACACAACACCCTTTTCTGCTGGTTCTGCAAGCTAATTGAGTATTAAAATGCAGAAATAGCCGATATGTTTAGACTGCTCTGGGAAAACTATTGGGCAATACACTGATCTGGGATTTTTTGCCACAACACTTAAGATATATGTGAGCACAAATAATTGGGGATTCACAGCAGGTTTGGTTTCCTCAAACTTACATGGCCCTCACCCCTTAATAAGAGTAAGTACAGTTACTGTTGTCCTGCTGCTCCAGTTTTACTTATTCATGTGTGGTTCCCTCTCCATGTTTTAGATTCTAACTTGTATTTTACTAGATTTTTCATCATGAATGGTACTTATAGCTATTCGGTTATATTTGGCTGCAAATGAGCCACATCCTCTGCAGAATACATCCTTGTGACTAATTTTCTGTCTGATTGTTACCATCCCATTTGCTCCCACTCAGCAATTAAGCTGTTGTTTATGCCCCTAGACCTATCCAAATTGCTGATTTGATAAACTCTATTGACTGAGTTAAAGACAAAGTCATTAAATGACTCCAGTCTTTTTCAACGACTGCTCTCTCTCTCCCGCTCTCAAAGATTTGCAGCACTGTACAAACAGGTGTGTGTGGGTTTGTGTGTGTGTGTGTGCGTCTGTGTGTATGTCTCTGTGGGAAGGAGAGAGAGAGTGTGAGGGCAAGGGGGAAGAAACAATAGAAAATGGAGAAAAGATAAAAGGGCACAAAAAGGGAATAAGTGAAGATGTTCGAGGACAGAAAGCTTTCTTAAGAGTTTACATGTGTTCCTGCAGACCTACCAGCGAGGTAATTTCATCAAGGGTACAGACAGATAGTAATTAGACCTGTCCCTTTAATTAATGACACTTTATCTCCTTGCTGGGAAGAGAGAGAGAGAGAGGGAGGGAGGGAGAGGGCGAGAATTAGTTGTAAAGGTTGGAGGGATGAGGATGAAGATAAGTAGGGGAGATATTAGTGGGATACGAGAGGAACAGAGTGATGGATGTGGAATTAAAAAGAAAAAAAGACTGACAGGAAACAGGATATGGAGACTGAATGACAGGGGAATGAGGGAATATTTGAGAGATGATAAAAATAGTAAGTGTAGACAACATTTGTGTTGCTGGATCAAGAATCATTGTTTGTTTAGTCTGTGTGTCTTTATTATATGTTTTACACTAAACCTGTCCAATAATATCCAGTCTGCAAGCTTTACAGTATTCACAAGGTGCAGGATTTGAGTGCAGGCAATGCAGGACATAGTTGAGACCTTCCCACGTGGGTCCAATATGCACTCATCTGACCCTGACCTGTGGAGGTCACTGGTCACTGGTACAAGTGTTTGTTTGTTTGTTTGTTTGATGCTCCTCCTGCATCAAATGTAGGTCAAAGAATGATGTAAAATGGTATTAAAACAAAAGAAAATATATGAAATGACGATAAATTCTTGTTTTAAATACACGTTCAAGCTTTAAGATATAATCCAGATGCTGCGTTTCACATATTTAAAATAAAAGTCCCTTATTAGTAACGATGTCTTCACTTACTATCCCCAGGCTGTGACCCAATCCCAGTGGAGTACCTGCGTTGGGGAGACCCTGAACCCATTGCTGCTTTGGTCTTTGCCTGCCTCGGTCTGATGTTCACATTCTTTGTCACTGCAGTCTTTATCAGGTAACCAATCTCTTATATGAGTCAGAAAATATAGACAATAGAGGAAAATGCTGCTATATGCAGTTTTCACATTTCTACTCTTAATCCTTTATTTTCCGACTGTATGTCAAAATACTGAAGATATTCTGCATATTTGTTTCTGATCATAATTGTTTGTCTCAATGTGTCTGTGTTCAGGTTCCGGGACACCCCAGTAGTGAAATCATCCAGTAGGGAGCTGTGCTACATAATACTAGCAGGGATCTGCCTCGGGTACCTATGTACCTTCAGCCTCATTGCCAAACCCCACGTCATCCACTGCTACCTCCAGCGGCTGGGAATAGGACTGTCACCTGCCATGAGCTACTCTGCACTTGTCACCAAGGTAAGGTGTGAGTGAAGGATTTGTTATGAGGTGTATGGTGCTGTTGCAGAGAGAGATGCAGGGGTAAAGGAGTAACCTCTATAGGCTTGGTATAATCCTGTGATTAAATCAATGCTTACCTGCCTTTGATCATTAATGATCCGTGGGGAAAAGCCAAAGGAACAGCTTCAGATGCTGGAGAGTTAGCAGCAGTGGTACATCTGTGGACATAATCGGAAAGAAACGGGGAGAAAAACAACATCTTCAGAGTTTTATCCCTTCTGTTTCATTATTCGTTACAGTGAGGGAATGCAGGTTTATCATTAAAAGCAGCACATTGGTCTATCCATCCCTTTCTCTAAGGGTTTTGCAATAAGAGCTGAGGTAACAGGGAGGTTAGATTAAACCCAGGAAACTGCAATTGCTTTGCTATAAAAAAAATATATACCTCAAGCTTATTGCACTAGATTTAGACTGCAGTGTGCAATATTTCTCTTCAAAGTGTTTTTCACTAAAATAGCAGCGGCAGCAGTTCAGAAATACTGGAAGCAGATGTTTATCATATAGGAACAGGGTTTACGGTATATAGTTTATGAAAAGGTCCTGATTGTGGTTGTTGTGTGATTCAAACCCCCAAGACAAATCGCATTGCTCGGATCCTGGCAGGCAGCAAGAAGAAGATCTGCACAAAGAAGCCTCGCTTCATGTCTGCCTGTGCTCAGCTCCTCATTGCCTTCCTCCTCATACTGCTGCAGCTGGGCATCATTGTGGCGCTCTTCCTCATGGAGCCACCTGAGGTAAGCTGAGTGTGGCTCTGTGTTGGTTTTTCAATGGAAGTGGGAGAGGCAAATTACCAGACATAGAACAAGGCATAAAAGAAAAAATAAATTACAATGTAATAAGCCTTTTTATCTCTATTACATAAGATGTTTTGTAAGACTGTTTCAATAGAAACGAGTGAAGTAGTTAGAAGTTCAACCTGCATAATGCCGTTAGAAGCTAGGCTTGTTAAAACATCTCAAGACTAGAGTTTTCTTGAGACAGGAAGCTTCATAACCATGGTAGTTTAGGGGGAGGAGTTTAAAGGTAATTTAAGGGCTTGGTTAGGTAATCTCCCTTTGTTTGTCTGTGATCATGGTGCCACAGCACTGCAGAAACTAAAGTTTGTATATGGCCAGTGTTAGCAATGAAGAAATATATTGACGTCAATACATGTTGGTTTAAAGACAGATAAGACTGAAGCTGAAGATGCCCTTAATTCATTCTTTTACTCAATAGATGAATAATTTAAAAAAATCATCTCTTCAGCCAATCCCCCTTTCATCTGTAACTTCTGCTTCTACTCAATAAATGCTTGAATGGCTCTTGGATCCATTTAAATGTGCCCACCAGCTCGAGGTTCCATGGACTTTTTTTACAAGACAAGTTTACTTACTAATTCAATTCAGGGATCGTTTTAAACTACAAATGCATTTTTATTGTTTTAATCAAAAGCAGTTTAATCATAATGCAATCATTTACTGATAGACTTATAGTATTAGGAGACCAATGTAATGCAAGGGGCGTGCAGTACAGATGTCTTCCCTATTTTCCTCCTGACAGAGTGGTCTTTTTAATTCCCAGCGCTCACGTTGTAGAAATAGCAAGGAAACTTGGGGTGAACAGGGGGGGGTGTGTTTGTTTTAAAATGAGATATGGTCAGGCTGGTATCGTTCTATCATATCATGAGGACGTAAAAAAATGACTTCACCTTAGTCCACCTCAAAACTGGTCAGCAGTCTGTGGGGCAGTATGTTCCTGCTATGGGCATACATCAAAGAGTTCACAGTGCTCTTCCACTGAGCTTGTTCCCCACACACAGGACACACAACAGCACACATACTCGACAGTTTAGCGGAGTGCATTTGCTGATACATTCAAATTGAGTATTCAACAGAATAGGGGGACGGAGAGCTTCTGTTTGTTTCCAAGCTCGCTCCAATGCGCGTTCTGTCTAACACACACAGAAACACATGCAGACGCACACACACTCATGCTCCTATTCCACAATGAGCTGGATTTATAATAATTGTTATGAGTGCCACCGATAAAATAGCCCCCAGCCTACCTTCATTTGATGTTGAAATATAGCTTCAGTCAGCCATCAGCATATTTCACATAGTGTCCTGTGTGTGTTTTGCGTGTTCAGGAGCACAATATAGCGAGATAATTTAAGTTATCTAGTCCTAGTTTGGTCTATTTAAGAAGACTGAAATCTGCCGTGTGAATAGCAACACACCAGCCTGCAGGTAAACCTGGCTCTTACTGGGAATGAGAGCTGACACTCTGATTGGTTTGATTTATGTTTCACCCCAAACACAATCAAGTGACTTGATCGTACCTCTTTGCACCCCCACCCCCACCCCTCATGTCTTTACAGGTAATCCATGACTATCCCAGCATCCGGCAGGTATTCCTCATTTGCAACACCACTAACCTGGGTGTGGTTGCCCCGCTCGGATACAATGGCCTGCTCATCCTCAGCTGCACCTTCTATGCCTTTAAGGTACAAGCTTGATTTGATACCAGCTTGGTCTACATTAATGATATCTTGCCAGTAATTCCTTCTTTTAAAAGCTCAAATGTTGGTGGAGAGATAGATGTATTATGTACTGTTCCTGTTTCACTTCATGCTGCCATAGGAAAGAGAGTCACTCAGACAATATTTATAAAGCAACGATTTAACCACATTTTTTTATCTTTGGTGCTGTACAACCTCAAAGCAGTTAAAACAAACTTGTTTTTTTTTTACTAAGCACATTATAAAGCAAATGTTTGATTATTGGCTGCCTGAAGCCATCCATTTTCCATAGAGTGTGAAAGCAGAGACTGCAGCTGAAATAAACTCAACAAATAAATTCAACGTGTTTGTTAATACAGCAGCAGAGAAACTATGCAACCCTGCTGGTGCAATGTTATGACCCCATGTTTCAACTAATTAACTTGCAAATAATGAGGTTAGCATCAGACTGATAGTGGTAATACAAAAGCAGATTGTTAGCTGTGTTTATTGGGGTGCTGTAAAGGCTAATAGTTTCCCTCTTTGCTTTGTTTTCCTAATTTAAAGCAGAAACCAAACAGTAAATTAGCTCCGATGAAGAAATGAATGTAAATGTTCTTACACTTCCTCTCTCTCTCTCTCTCTCTCTCTCTCTCTCTCTCTCTCCAAGACCCGAAACGTCCCCGCTAATTTCAATGAGGCTAAGTACATTGCCTTCACCATGTACACCACCTGTATTATCTGGCTGGCCTTTGTACCCATCTACTTTGGTTCCAACTACAAAATTATCACCATGTGCTTCAGTGTCAGCCTGAGCGCCACTGTGGCTCTATGCTGCATGTTCGTACCCAAGGTAAGACTTTCAAATCCACAGTTTCTACCTCTCACTCCTACACCGCTTTGATCTGTACATTTCTTCACAGTTTTCAGTCTCCTTAAATGCTAAGCTTCTGTTTAAACCTAGTCCTGCTTGTCAGGGATCCATTAATAGTGTATATTAGGACACACTCTGTGGTTGAACTCATTTCAAATCAGTGCACAGACTTTATTATACTGCAGGTAACCATAGCAACATTCTTAATCATGCATTGAACTCACCACAACATTTTTGTATGTGGTAGGTATTCAAGTTGATGGGTTTATTTTGATATGTTATGACACTTTGTTGAGAATTCAAATTATTTTTTTTATGAATTGTTAGAGAGCAAATTGTTATTTTTTCTGCTTATTCTGTCTCATACCTTAACGTTGTGGATGCAAATCATCCATTTTTTTAAACCTAATTTGTGATGCTTGAGGAAGTCAACTTATATTTTTTGTGTGAGACCACTTTTCCAGTCTGAAAGTATTCCTTTTGTCTCAGCGGTTGTGCACAGGCAGTGTTCAGAGTAAACAACATCTAATTGAAAGTGAGACTTCAATTAAAGTTTTTAAATAAATAATTAGAAACTTGAGGTAGTGTCTTCATTAAAGGCCTGCATTGAAGCATAAAGCTTATTTAAAACAGTATTAGGTTTTCTCCGAACTAGATATTCCTGGGGGGCTTCAGAGAGAAAGTTTTCTCTTTAAACAGCTGACAATCTATCAATTAAAAATAATTAGCTGTTCCTTTTGTTGAATTGTCTTCATACATTAAATTCCCATCAGGTGGTTTTAGCCTTGATCACAGAACATTAATTAAAGCAGGGTTTTGTATAGACTGTATCATATTCAAAATGTCTATATATAACCAAACCTTTTCAATGTTCTCCTTTTAGAAATGTATTTAGATAATATATATGATATCATATTTTTTTTAGGTGTACATTATTCTGGCTAAACCAGAGCGTAATGTGCGCAGTGCCTTCACAACCAGCACAGTGGTGCGCATGCATGTGGGTGATGGAAAATCGTCCTCAGCCGCCAGCCGTTCTTCAAGTCTGGTAAACCTGTGGAAGCGCAGAGGCTCTACTGCAGAGACCCTCAGGTACATCTGAGTGTGTGTGTGTGTGTGTGTGTGTGTGTGTGTGTGTGTGTGTGTGTGTGTGTGTGTGTGTGTGTGTGTGTGTGTGTACTCCGGGGGGGGCTTATTGGCTGGGTTAATTCCAGGTTACTCCTCAGTTACAGTCCAAGGCGCCATTTCTGTAATGGCCCCACTTAGAGACTATTTATGGTGTGTGTCCATATGTGTTTGTGCGTGAGTGGGTGCGTGTGTGTGTGTGTGTGTGTGTGTGTGTGTGTGTGCATGTGGTGTGTAAGTCTGTGTTCGAGCCCTCTGTGAGATTGATTCTCTGAAGTCCCCCGAGTCTGCTTGACTGTTCCTCTGACCCTAACATGAACTGCGGACAATTGCCTAATGGAGACATGGCAAAGATGGAGAGAGGGAGGTGTTTACTGAGAAAGGGAGGCTGAGGAGAAACTTGAAAAGAGAAATTTAAATACATTGAGTTGAGAGAGGATGGAAGTAATGGACAGAGAGATGAAAGGCGGAATGATGGAATAGAAAAGAGAAGAAAAATGCTCATTGGAAAGTGTGAAAAGGAAAGACATAATAACTTTCACAACACTCTTAAGGCCATCCTCAGGTCATCTGCGGTGACAGGGAACTTATCAAAGGACACAAAGGATGTGACGCGTGGCCACTTGCCCAAAATGAAAAGCGAGAAAAATATTTATTTTTCATTTGTCAGCAGGTTACTCTAACTCACCACGCTTGGCAAGCAAGATTTCAATCACACTCCTATGAGACAAGTCAGGAATGTTTGAATCGTTCTTCCTTTTATCTCCCCCACCCCCCTCTCTCGTTTGCTCCTGTCTTCCTCTGTGGGTGGTGGTAATTGGCAAGGCTGTCTGTCTCCTGAGTGCAGGACTGACAGCTGTTGCCATTGAGCTCCTGCCATCGTGTAGTCAGAACACACACAGAGACACATGAAGCCATGCAGAAATAATGATGTATGAATCAAATGTTTGATTTACTGAAGAGTGCATGGTTTACATTCATCAGACATTTAAATCACCCACAGACGTGGAGAACATGTACATGTATAACAGTATGTATCAAACAGTAAAAATCAATTGCAGGTTGACTGGGACAGCATACATATAAATATGTTATAATTTAAGTATATGGGTATGTCTGCGTATGTATGTGCAGGTGGCTGTGTCTTCAGGGGGATTTGAGCTCTCTTCACCTCCAGCCACGTTGGTGTGAGGTTTAATCAGAGCTTCCTACATAGATTAATCACAGTAATTAACCTGACAAAAGGATGAGAAAAAAAGAGAGAGGGGGGAGTTGGGACAGAGCACTGTGACTGATGATAAGCAGAGAAAAGTGGAAAGAATTGTAATAAAGAGGGAGAAATGGAGGAAAAAGAACCTGACAAAGAAAAATGAAGAGCCCTTTTTTGGGAAAAAATAGAACAGAAAATGAATTGTAATGGAATAACTCCACATATATAGTCTAGCTGGTTTTCTGTGGTTGAATTATGGGTCTACTTCAAAATGTCTTCATCAGTTAAGCTTAATGTGTTTGAACTAATGCAAAGCAGGCTCAGTAATTGTTATAATTTTCTGTATTCTGGCCTCCGATGCTACTTAACTGCTAACAAGTGCTGATTTGATTTGTACCAAAAACATGTCTTTTCTTTGAAACACTTGATCAAGACTTGATCAAGACTTGATCAAGTAGAAAAATCTTATTTCATGCATACTTAGACTTGAAATGATAGACATCACAATATATTTATGAAAAATCAAGCTGAAATTTGCGTATGATAATGATACATGTCAAATATTTTTAATAAAGCATTAAAACTGCAAAGAAAACCAATTAGTGCAATTCAAATATCCATCCATTCATGATGGATTTTCCCGTTCAGGGTCGCAGGGGGCTGGAGCTGATCCCTGAGCTGTCATTGGGCATGAGGCGGGGTTCACCCTGGAATGAATGCCAGTCAAAAACAGGGCTGACATAAAGAGACAGACAACCAGCCACAGTCACATTCACACAAAGCAATTGTGTTGTCACACAATTTAGAGTCACCAGTAATTCTAACGAGCATGTCTTTGGACTGTGGGAAGAAGCTGGATTACCAGGAAAGAACTCACACATTCACGGGGAGAACATGCAAACTCCGCACAGAGAGGCTTCAGTCCTATGGGAGTTCTAACCAGGAACCTTCTCGCTGTGAGGCTACATCGCTCACCACTGCACCACCATGGAGCCCTAAAATATAAATGACTTTTTAATCTTGAAAGAGCTTAATTAATATCCAGTGTGTTTATAATGCATACATTTAGTTGACAGTTGTTTAGATGTGGGTTGATGAAATGAAAATAATTGTCAACTGTCAACTTTTTGCTGAATTAGAATTAAACATCTACTGTACCACCAACTATGCAAATCGAAAATTCCCTCTTTGCTGTGGCTAAACTCATAACACCGCCTTAATTATCTAATCTTAAAACAGGTATGTAGATTTTTCACAGACTTAAGGGTCTCTATCATGCGCCTGGTGCAGAACGTCTTTGCATGCAGGTTTCTCTCCTTTCTTCTTCCTGATGCAGTAATCGTTTTACGCCCAGTGTTCACTTGCACCGGGTGAGATTTACGCGCTGCGTAAATACCAAAATATAGTGGGACACGCCCCAAATCCCATGGCGCCACCCACTTTAGCCAATATACCTCATGCCTTCCAAATATGGCCCAACGATGTTAGTTTTTTTATATAAAAATAAATAAAGTAACTGAGGGTGGTTTAATATCCTCCAAACATCACCTTCTTTCTTCTCACTCTCTTTCACTTCCTCCTTGTTTTCCAGCTCCAACGGTAAATCAGTGTCCTGGGCACAGACTGAGCGCAGCAGCACACGTGGTAACCACCTGTGGCAGCGGCTGTCCTTCCACATTAAGAAGAAGGAAAACAATCAGACTGCTGTCATCAAGCCCTTTTCTAAAACCTCAGAGGAGCGTTACTGTGGAGGAGGGGACCTGCCGCCGCACATCCCACTGCCCTCGCTCCCCTCAATGTCCTCCCTGCCCACTCATCTCGAATCGGTCACAGACAAGACCCTGTATGACCTCTCCGAGGCTGAGGAGCGCTACTCCATCTCATACCCGCCGCAGACTCCTTCACCAATCAGCACGATCAGCCAGAGGTTTGGGGCAGGATTAGTTGAGGAGCCTCATATGGCCACTATCCCAACGTACCAGAGCAGCATTTGCAGCGCCGGCAGCGGCAGCAGTTGTGGTCTTGCCAGCAGCGGCTCTCTTGTCACTGGGAGTGATGGTCATCTGGTTACCCTAGACGATCACCCAGGCGTGCCACAAAGCACACTGATGGATCAGATCAGCTGTGTGGTAAACCGCTTCACTGCCAACATCTCCGAGCTCAACAGCATGATGTTATCACCCTCTCCAACGCACTCACACAAACACACGTCTCCTTCTCCTCACCCTCCCGACCCCTATCTGCTACCCCGCGAGATCCCGATGCCCCCCACTCTCACGACATACGCTGACGTCCAGCCCCTCCCGCCTGTGGAGTCCAGCCTCGGGGGACGAGGTGGCTGTCCCATCCACTCGATTCCTCATTCGCCTTACCCCCTTCCGCCTCCTCACCCTCAGGCTTCCCCCTCTCTCTCCCCCATGCGGGGAGGTCTGCTCAGCTCCTCCCCTCTGAGGAGGTCAGAGTTGGAGGAGGAACTCATCGCTTTGACTCCACCGTCGCCTTTTCGCGATTCCCTGGCGTCCAGTAGTGGCTCCCCTATCTCAGAGACAGGCCTGTTTCTCCCCCCAGTGCCCTCGCATCCACCCCCCTCCCCCCCGTCGCCCAGGTACAGCAGACTGACGCTCAGAAACTACAGCCAGAGTTCATCCTCACTGTGAGCTAGTGTGAAGAAATCACAGAAATGAAGAGGAGCACTTAAAACAACTCGGCCGATGAGAGAAAAGAGTGATGGGAGGACTCCCTGAGTGGAGTTAAAACCTGAAAGTTCAGGAGTCATCGAGGGCGGGTTGGTGAGGACGCCGAGCTGTGACAGTCTGCTGTGTTCGTGTTTACATGTTTGCAGTGAGGTGCAGGTTTCATAAACTTGTGCATGTTGTACTTTCCTAGTGCGGTTTCTCACATGGGGGATCAAGCAGGACTGCAAATGGACCACTAGCTGCAATGTTTTGGTGTCTGTAAAGCCAGAAATCGTTCTTGGAGGTCTAGAGCAGTTGAATAGTTTAGGTTTGGGTAGTGGCCTTAAGGTAACATGGCTATCAACTAATTAGAGATTGTGAATGTGTGTATGTACGTGTGTGCATTGGTGTGTATGTTTTTGCTGATTCTTTGTTATTGAGAGGTAATGGCGACATGACAGTGAAGAGTATTGAAAAGCTAAGACTCCTTAAGCCTGTGAGGACTAAACCGAGGCTATCAAGGGCAAATACATATTTTACACACACATACACACTCTCACACACACAAACACACGTAAGTGTGAGCACACTTCTATATGAGAGGTTCTGGATTTTTCTTTTGTAATGAAATCCATCATACTTCTGACAAAGTGCATTGTTTTGACATACCAGGCTGTCTGTTACTTACAAACTTTTTACACAAAAGCATCTTTTTATTCAGTCATCTCCAATTAGTTCCATCTACATGGCTCCCCCCCTCCCTCCCTCAGTCCCTCTTTCTCTTGCTGCTTTCTTTTACCTGCCAGTGTTTCCGTTTTTTCTACTCTTGTATGTTTTATCTTCAGAAGTTTGAATGTATATTTTCTACATGATTCCTGAAGTAGTTGGGACCAAACCTATTTTTACCTCTCTCAGACTTGAGAAGGGGGGAGAGAAGAAAAGACCAGGCCTTGTTTTACCATAAACATCTTAGATCAGGTGGTATGTTGGCAGAAATGTAACCATGAAGCTTATTTTTAGAGTGTGACATTTGAAGTATTTGAAGCTAAGCTGGATCCCAGTTATGACATTTCCTTTGTACAGAAAGGTAGGACACAATTGTCTATGTGATTCTTAAAGACACTACTTTGAATGAGTAATTGAAATCCCTATAATCTCTGACGTTAGTAGACAGACTAATTAATCCATGCTATGAGGGCGCAGCCTGCTCCTCCTCAGCCTCCTCCTCCTCAGCCTCCGCCTCCTCAGCCTCTGCTAGATAGGTGTTCAGACCTTTTCAGACTTGTTGGCTGTTTTCAGACAAAGAGGGGCAGAAGTTCATATTGAATGAACAGATATTAAAGTAGTATCGATCCCCTTTTAAAGCAATGTCAAAGTGTCAATCTGTTACTTTAAAGAAAGGTCTGGCCTTCTGAGACTTATTCTAAATGTCATACTTGCTGGATTGAGGAAAAAAATGTTGCAAGGGTCAGAGGAGAGATGACTTTGTTTGTATGAAAGTGATTCGAGCATAGATGTCAAATCAATACATGATGCTGTTGAATCTTCATATGAATATTGAATCATAAATGTCAGCGTAGATGGGCAAACAAAACTAAACTCACAAAATACGGCGAAACTCAAACATAATTCAGCCATTTTAGGTTTTTCTTTCAAGCATATCTTATAAACAAAGTATTGTACCTACATGTGCCAACACTTGGGCAGAATTTGCGAGCACTTCTGAGAAATTCAGTCAAATGTGCCAATGGATGCATTCACTATGAAGATGCTTTTGAGAATTGGGCTCCTGGCTCTGTCAGCTGCCTCCCCAGAGGCAAACACTCAGCCAAGAAAAGGGAAAGAAGAAAGACAAGAGTCAGAAGGTCGTGATACACAACACACATTTCTAGACATTTCATATGAGGAGTGTTGTCAGCTGCAACGGCACGAGGTGGTATATTTGACCTTATTAAAGATAATTGGGCTATGCTATCACAACAACAATCAGTCATTGAATATGTTGCCTGTGTATAATCGTCCATAACAGCCTCCGTTTTCTTTTTGCAGCATAGGCATTCCTCAGCTGTGACAGCTGACTGATGTAGATGCAGTCCATGGTCTCATTTGTATTTCTGCTCTATAGTAGCCAGCAAGAACAAACTCAGACAACGTGATTCTGTAAATACTAAGGGCATGCAAAGACAGTTCCGTTTTGTTTGAGATGAGAGTCATTTTCTTTACATATCGAGAAAAAAAAAGAGATAAAACATGTTTTTGAAGTATGTTATGAAATCAAACAGTAACAATATGTGTTAAGACAACCGAAACTGTGTTACTACTATGAATGTGTCAATGACCATTCCTATTCAAATGTCTTGTAATTCAACTATATGATAATAATTGATATTAATATGATTATTGTGCCAAAGGGGTTAGGGAGGGGTTTAGCTTATACTAGCTTGTGGGTAAATCTGTGTTTTTTTTTTTGTTGTTTTTAAAGAAATGTAAATGTAAAACTGTTTCTATTGTTTTTTGATATTTTCTATATGGATATTCCACATTTTTCCAGTGTAAAGCAATATAATCCATGCGTATACAAGGTGCACATGTGAGGGGTTTGTTCATGAACAATGTTTCAGATTGTTGGTCATTTTCATCCTTCTGTGATCTTTAATGGACCGTTCAATGAAGGGGAGTGGTGTGGAGATAAGATCACATTCATTTCTGCTGAAGCTCACAATAATTGGAAGGACATATGAAAGACATGGTCAGTAATTCATAATATCAAGATTTTAATTTTGGGCCTCTAGTAAATCTTTTCCCCACTTTACTACATGAGAGGCAAACCTGTTGGATTCTGTTTGAATCACTATTAATCCGATAATTGATCATTTTTTGCTTTTTTCTGTGTCATTAAGATGTAAGCTTGGTTTGGTTTACAGTTTCTCGCTACAATTCAGAGGAAGCAATTAAAATCTTTTCTTCTGCTTCTAATAGAAAAGAATAACTAAGGCAGTAAGCACATTCAACATTGGAGTTTGTACTTACGCTTTAGATTATGACTAGACAAAAAACTTCAACTTGTTGACACTATTGGTCCCTGCCTCAAATACTGCCTGTGCAGCTTTACCCTCTTCATCTCCTCTTCTAATCTGAACGATCTGGGCCCCCGACCTGTGCTTTTGTCGAGATAGTTGTAGGGAGGAGCTGGTTTTTATCTGCTGCTGTCTCTGGCAGTGTTTTAAACACGCTGAGAGAGTAACGGGGGAGCTTGCTTCAGCACTTGAGCCACGTGTTATGAGCCCCCTGGGTGAGACTCCACAGTTTCAGTGCAACCTCTGCAGAAAGAGGCAGGATCAGCGCTTTCATCGCCTGCTCCCTTATTCTCTTTAAGGGCCCAGGCCTGTGTCATCATATCGCATTCAAATACAAATGAAACAAAAAAAGGCTGTAGGAGTAGAGAAACGCTATGGCAACATTACAGGAAAAGGAAAATCCCCAGAATCAAATATCCCTGACTATAATTGGCAAAAGAAAATAATGCTCATGTTATTTTAAAATTCATGAACTTGTTTAACCACACAGACATGATCTCATTATTTGCAGTATTTTGACAAAAATGATTTCAGGTTTTCAGGATTTCAGATTTCAGATTTGTATTTTCATCTCTAAAATATTTATGGGGAAGGTCCAGCTACAGTAGAAATGCAGAGAGATTATTTTTTGATACCACTACTCCTCCTTATAGCCCTTCAACAAGGATCAAACAAATCTACGACCCATTGAAATTTAGGGTGATCTCAGTCAGAGATGCTTCCCTTTGTAATATAGCCAAAACATGATGAGTGAAGACTTACACTCACCAGGATGATGATCTGATGATTTCTATATCCCCCCAAAAAATGCCGTTGGCTGACTTGACGTTTTATAAATGCACTCGAAAGAATTGGATTGATAATCCCTGTGTTCAAAAATATTTTTAATCTGGACCTGCTCGTCTGCCTATCAGATAAAAAAAGACACAAGGTCACTTATTTTGTACCTTGGGAGTGAATTTGTTAAAAAAAAAACAAAAAAAAAAACAGTGGTTATTCAGAGATCTCTAAGCCTCCTGATTCTGAAACCAGGTCTCAGAGCCAGACAGGCTGTTTCAAGTGTTATTTATAACAGCCTTTAAAACAAACCTGGGTTTCCGTGCAATATCATTACATTTCACTCTTAAGGCATATTATTGACCTAAGTTTTATGGAGAAACCGCACTCTAGTGGTTTCACAAAAAAAACAAAAAAAAAACACATTTAACTAGTGCTTTATCAATCTGACTGGCAGTCCTGTGATGGAGCAGCCTCTCCTACTCTCCTGCCTGTTTGAACTTTTTATTTGAGACAGACACCAGAGCTATGTTTACCGTGTAAACACCACAAGGTATATGGTTATATACGCTGCAGGGCATGCGGGGAGAGGTTTTGATTCATCAGAGTACTGTCGGCGCTCACATAGTTATTTCAAACATGGTGTCATGATGAACAGCTTTTGTGTTGAGTGGGTCCTTTCTTTCTATGATTCTGGATTTTTGTTCTATTTCATTAGATACTATAAGCAGAATGGATAATGTGCTAACAATTCACATCCCTGGGAATAATGCCTCATGATGTTTTATGTGTTTTATTTCAGAGATAGGCAGATGATTTATAGCAAAAGCAGTTAAGTTGGTTAAATTAAAAAGGTTGAATAATATTGATTATTTCCAAAGGTTTACCCAGACCGTCTTGCACCTACTTTGTAAGATGAAATAAGAATCAATCGATGCACGTAATGTGCAGACTATTTTCTCCTCTGCTTAAAAAGAATTCATATAGACTCTACTTATCACGGTATAGAGCACTGAATGATGTGTGCATATCAATCAGCTTATTGTTGAATTCCTCTGGGGTTGACAGTATTTTTGTACGTTTGTCTAAAGCTGCTAATTTGAATGTTGCTCTTTTATAACTGAGTAAAGCGTATGTGTGTTTGGATAAGTGGTTGTTTCATCAGCCAATAGATTTAAATGAGAGATATTTAGTTGGTCCGTGTAGATTATAAAGTGCAGAGGAGATGGAGCTGTGTTATAAGAAATAGGTTCTGTATTATATTGATTAGGAGCAAGAGAGGGTTTGTCTTTGTGTTCATTTGGCTTCAGAGTTTAGGAGGGAAATAAAATAGTGTATTAAGGCGGTCTGTGTGCTTCTGTAGGGCAGTATTGTTTTGCATACATATCTGGCAAATGGCAGAATTTAAGTATTTTGTGTTGATGGTTTATGAAATACAGTTAGTTTTACAAACACATTTCATGTTTCTATCATTAAGAGAACTAAGCCAAACTGAGCTGTGATATCACCATGTTACTCAGAGGTGTCCCTGCAGGACATGATGTTGGTCAAAGAAACCTCAATATGGGTGATTCCTTAAACCAGAGAACGCAGTTACATGCTGTGTGTTTTATATTCTTGGTAGATAATTGTGGTGGACGCAAACACAAGCAAAATCTCCTGGTTATACCCCGGATTTAAATTCTGATAAGAAGTGTGAGTGTTTCACATGTTGCTCAGAATCGATGTTTACATTCTTACTGATGTCTTCAGCTCATCAAGATTTTCATGTTTAATCACTCACTTCAGTTATTATGTTTTACAAGCTTGTAGGCAAAACTAAGTTCTGCATTTATTCATGAACACCG